CACAGTAAAGTGTATCAGTGACCAAGTGCCTTATCCACACAGATTCTCCTATTGGCTTTTTGGTGTCTTCTCTTAAATATGAGCAGACAAATAACAATTGCCTTACATTTGGACAAGGCCCCCAAAATGACAGTTACACCAAAACAAACTAGCAGACAGAAAATAATTTGGAGGAAATAAGATAATAAGGGAAAGACGAGGAAGACTGAAAGGAAACAATGACATCCTCACACAGATTTTGTAAAAAATAGAATCAATGAAACACAGAACAGAATGCCTATAATAAAAGGGATGGGCAAACAAAAAGATTTCTTGGAAACTAAAAATGTAAAATAAAAAATCTATAGGGCTGGAAGATCACAAAAGAAAATTTCTCCCAAGTGAATTATTAGTAGCCCTCTTGAAAGAGCCATCCAACATCTGGTTTCATATGAAGGCACATCATTGTGAAATTCCAGGTTACTGAGAATAAAATAACCATCCTTACAGGCTTCTAAGGAGAAAAGAAAAAGAGCTCATAGAATGCAAAGGCCTGGTAATCAGAACAGACCAGCTATTTTGGCAGGAACACTTAGATGTTAGCATAGAATGATCAATGACTTCAAAGCTCTAAGGAAAATGATTTCCCACCTAAAATTCTACATTCATCCAAATCACCAAATCAATTTAAGAGTATGATAAAGACATTTTCAAATGTCTCCAGGAACTTTTCTCCTATTGATCTTCAGCAAAAAAGCTAACCACTAGGATATATTTCAGCAACATGAAGGCATATACCACAAAGGAAGACATGATACCCCAGAAACTGAGGATCCAGTATAGGAGAGATGTAACAAGGAATCCTCAGGGTGACGGGAAGGGAAAAGGACAAATATCAGCAGCGCAGCTGAGCTGGAGAACAACTGTCCAAGTGGAGAACAGTCCAGAGGGAAGAATCTATTAAGCGAGTTAAACTAGTAAATTACAGTGTCAGCATATCTCAGATATTTACTCTCTTACAGTTGGAAGATAAATTCATAGGTAGACAGCAAACAAGAAAAAAAAACAATCTTTCACAACTTGGAGGAAAAAATGGACAAGAAAAGAAATGTAATCAAAGCACATTATTAGGCTCAGCTATTTATACAGTCACATAATGTACATATTAAAAACCAACTTAACCAAAAGCTGTGGTACAAGACACACTGAGGAGTTTGGGGGAGTGTGTGATGTGGGGGGAGCATCCCTGACAGCAAGCCTAATCCTTATCTCCCATAACTGTAAACAGATAAAACCCAAAACCTAAGGAACAGCACCACACACACAGAATTTAAAAATATGGATGTTAAATTTTAGAAGCAACAGATTAAAAAGTGTGGACCATCTCTGAGGAGGGGTGAGGCATTATGTGCCCTGAAGTACTGACTTTTAAAATTATGCATATTTATGATGCTAATTTAAAAAATTAACCCAAAAGAAAAACAATTTTATATGAAGGTCATTATTAATTAGTAAAAACAACTGGGATGTAGGGCAAGTTTGTTATTTTTTATTATCTAGCAGTAATGGTAATTTATTATTTCCTGGATTTCCTTCTCTTGATTACCTGGGCTTTTTGGTGGGGGGTGCGCCATCACTGAAGAATTCGAAAATCTTGTCTATATCAGAGGCCTGGCTCCCTGTAGAAGCCATCCAGTTTCTAAAACAGATTAAACACCATGGACCACAATTAGATCTGTAAAGTATACCATTCAAAACAGCACATATATTAAACAGTTTAAATACACTGTACACTCTAATGGTGTTTTAGATGTATCTCCTGCTTACCAGAAATTCATTAATTTAGAAGCACACCAAACTTAAGGAATTAAATTCATCTAAAAGAAAGTAACCTTGACATTCTGACTTCAGTGCTCCATACTGTCATCTTGCTTCTGTTCCTGCAGGCTCTCCCCCACCCCCAAAACAACAAAAACCAATGTCAACTCTTGTCAGTTATCAGTCATCACTTTGCAGAGCCTAAGAAATATAACTGTTATTCTCCCATAATACAGGCTTGGGGAAGACGGGATTAACAAGAACCCATGCATAAGTGTGCTAATAGCCCCCCAATTATCCATTTACTATCAGCTAAAGAAATCACTGAGTCAAGAATAGAACTAACACTAATTTGCTGGTTATTAGACATTCTTTGTGGCTAAACAACTGTGTCCTCACAGGCAGTGAGGCTTATTTCTCTAGCTAAACGCAGGTTGACTCTAAGACACTGCAATAAATAGGAAGATATTAACAAGCAAGGCTGTTTGAAAAGTAACCCATTATGTTCAGGTGACAGGAGAGCTAGCAGTAAAAGAATTACCATGGATTAGAATGAAAACAATAAAGAGAAGTTTTAACTGCTCAAAATTTTATTAAGCTTGCTAAATCTAAGGACTGTTAATTCTAAAACAGCAATGTTTTAAATAGTGTGTACAAACACACACAATATACAGAAGACAATACACACTGCCAGTTTCATTTCCTTTCATTGTCAGTATTTAGAAAGAATCAAATTATAATTATTTGAAGCTTGTTGCTTTATTAGAAAGCTTTTTCTTTGTTAAAACATTTTTTTTAAGTTTGCCAAATTAATTTTTCTTGTAAAGAGAAGGCTTAGTTTCTCACCCCATATTCCATCTCACAGAATGGAATTCTCCTTTGATGTCATAATTATTAGGAAATAGGAATCAAAGATCACAGAAATACATTGGGAAGTAGACCATCCTTCTAGTGAGATCTTTGATTTTGTTGGTGAGAAAGCTGGGGCTCAGAGAAGATAGGTGAATTACTTAGTAAATCTTGCCTTAATCATCATCTGACATGTTTGTTAAAAGTATGTGTTTTTAAAGATAAAGTCAACTACTTTAAAAGACAGTATAGGTTCCTGGGCTCTAATCCCAAATTAATAAACCAGAATATCCAAGAATCTTCAGGGGATTCTTATGACGAGGCAAACAATAAACACCTAAATGAAGTGCAAATAGTTCTTCTATAATCCAACTATTTTTCTAATTGTAGGACGCACACTAGGCACACCATAAGCCATCCTCCCGTAAGTGTACACATCCTTTCTTACAGCCCAACAGCTTCCCAGTTCACTAATATCAATAGTCAGGAGTCAATCGCCATTAAAATATTTCCTTGAGGTTTCAATTTATGTGAAGTCCTTTCCTACTGTGTAGGCTATGCTATCGTGGGGAGAAAGAGTGTTAGAACAATGGTTACTTCTACCACATACACAATAAATACCCGTTAGTTCGGGGATATTTTTTAAGACTATGCAATGGAAGACTCATGGACACTGAGAAATGACCAAGGGGGAGGGGACGGGGGCTGCTGAACCACTGTGATGTACATTTGATAATAAAGAAAAAAGGAAAAAAAAGACTACACAATGGAAAGTGTATATGATATGCTCTTTCCTTAAATGATTCTATAAACCCAACTTCTAAACAAATTACACCATGTAAAAAATACTGCGTATTAAGAACAATGAAAGTATAGAAGAAAGTAATTTAATGTTTATTAAGTTTTAAAGACAGATATCTTCCAAATTCAGTGCTCAACTGAGCTACTAAACCAGAGTTTTAACAAACTTACGTGTTTATCACATGCCAAATACTATCTATAAATACTAACTGATGCAATTCCCTTTATGAAGGACAGTTATTACCTTATTTTACTGATGAGGAAACTGAGGCACAGAAAGGCTAAGGTACCATGACTCAGACCAAGGCAGTCCATGCCTCCTAGTCCATGCCACTGAACACACTTTTACAACTGGACAATGTTCCCCAAGTATTAGTTTCTCACCTTATTTTTAATTTGCAGGCCAAAACTATCAAAAAGGAAGCTCCTATATTCTAGATTTACCTGAAATAATTCCGTGTAATGCTCTTAATAGCTGCTACATGATGAGGTGCGCTGCTGAAATAATCATGACAGTCAACTAAATCCAGAAGCTGCATCAGACAACTTTTTCGGTGACAAGCACTGTTTCTTATGTACCTCCTACCACCACTAATCTACCAGAACCCTAGAAAGGTTCTATAATTTTCTCTTGAAAAATACGCAAGGTCATTTTTGCTGGATTCTACTTCTGATGGTCAATTCTTCATGTCTACACCTGAATACTAGGCTTACAGAGTCAACTGCTCTGAAGGACCATTCCATCTACATAATTTAAGAAATTCAATATGGCCAACAGCTCCTGACAAGTTGTTACTGGAATGTTTTGAGTCCTCTTATTGAGGAACAAAATGAGAAGTGATTCGATATGCTCACATCACATTTGCTCATATACTTATCCTGTTTTCCAACAGAATAACGTCTTTTCTTCAGTCTAAAGGATGCATCATATGATATAATCTCACATGTATACCCAGTGGCATCTGAGTATAAACCAGATCTTATTCCTGTATTGTTTCAGGAAAAAAATCTGTTTTAGCATTTACCCTACACAACATGCAGTTACTGCGAAACGGCTTCCAACCTAAGTGTGAAAACCTAACATGGAACCCCCACCCTAATGTGCATCGGCTAGTTCATACATTAATGTCTTGATGCAATCACTGCCTGAGTTCTCATTTTAGAGGGACTTGCTAAGGATAGCAGAGGCGGAAAAAGCTTTTCTGCCACAAGACAACAAAAGCCTTTACCTGTGGTAGTGTCTTCATTACTCCAATTACTGCTAAGTCACTGAGAACTCCTTCAAGGCCAACAGAAGTCAGCAAAATAAACATCAGAAAAGGAGCTAAGAAAAGGAGCAGTAACTTCATTAACAAAATTTTTAAGGCCTGAGTCTTTGTTCACATAAGACACTTACACTTGAAACCTACTGGCTTGGCAGGAAACAGAATGGTGGATGAAAAAGCAAAAAATCCAGGCAAGTGTTTTAGAAAAAAATCCATTAAGAAACACTGAAAAGGGTCAGGAGAAAAGGGACTGTTTGTATGAATGAAATAGTTGTACAAACTAGAGGACGTGTGGATTTGAAAACATCAAAGAATCCCAGCAGCCCTTGCTTTCATCAGCATCTTGGTGCCAGCAAAGAGAGCAAAACTGATTCCTTTTTCCGCTTCAGAATTAGAGTGAGGCCTCCCAGCCTGCTCCTTCTGCTGATCTGTGGCGCTCCCTGTGTTTCCAGCATGTGATCTTCAGCTCAAATGCCTGACATGCCAGAAGGAACTCAGAATAACACACTTTGGTATATGGGTGGAGGAGAAAGTTTTAATGATGGCATTTTTGCCTGGAAATACAAGATCTACAAGTGACCAGCTTGAGAAGGCAGTACATTTCTTGCTTTACAAGAACAGCTTCATTTGCAGCAAGCTTTCACTCCTTTTATTTTAAAAAATAGCACAGTGACTAGGATCAAGAATGGCTTCTTTCTTTGGCATAAACATAGAAAAGGGTTAACTACATTTTTAAGTGAAAAATATAGTCATCCTCCGACTTGGAAGAAATGAAACGTTTCTAATTGTGGCTTTTGGACTAGTTCCAACACATCTGTTTTTTAGCAGCTCTGGGGGAGGAGAGCAAGGACCAGATTCCCAGTATGAGGTACTGTAAGAGAGCACTTGGCATGCTTGGTGACAATTAACAAACTAAATACAACATTGTACTCAGGTAGTCGGTGACTTCTGTTATATAATGTAGACGGTGGCCTTTCCTGCCCGTGTAGAAAACAAATCTTCCTTTTTCTTCCATCTAACCCATACAAAGAGATGGAACTGATACAGAGGAATTGCATCCAGAAGTGCAAGGAGCTGAATCCTCTGCATACAGTGACTAGGTCTGGAAGCATTTCCTTTACCTCTGGTTAACTACTCTGCTCTTACTTTTTCCCCTAACCTGTATGTACATGCCTGAAACCCTCTTACCTTCTGTCAGGTAAGATCTGTACCACCCTCATTTCCTGAAAATCTACTTTAACATACACACTGATAAAATGCCAAACTGATGCCATTTATTCTTGGCATTTTACCAGGAAACAATGACCCATATATGAACAGTGTGAGAATGACCTCATGAGCAGTAGGGTTTCTGAAAGACTTTAAGGACTAGACGTATAATCCCAAATTCTAGAGAGCCTTTTAAAACTCAAGTCCCAAAATAAGCCACATTGGTATTCTAGGCTCAAGTGCTCAGATATTGTTTACATCAGTTATTTTCAATCATAAAACAAAAGTAACACATCACGTATAGGGGGCAAAACTGTTTCAAGAAGGAACAATGGAACTTCAAAGTTAAAATTTGACTTAGAGGTTAGTGATAGAAGCTGATGATTTTACCGTGCAAAGAATACCTTCCTTCTTTGTTTGTCACTGCGTTCCCTCTTGTGATGCTTCTGAGAAGGTATATCCTGAAAACAATGACACATGTTGCTAAGGAAGAAGACTTTAAAAGTATTTATAAAAATATTTCCCATGTATCAAGTAGTATGATGACACAAACAGTTTCATCACAAATGACATAGGCTAGTAATTAAAAATGAGACTAAATAAATCTTCAAGGACAAGATTTTATGTTCTAGTGAGTTCTTAAAAACTAAATTCCTCCTATTAAATCATCGTGTGCTACATATGGCGATGCTCTCAACCGCTTCCTTCTCGTGCCTATGGAGGACAGCCAACATGCTGCATACAAACGCAGATTCACCCAAGTGGGGGGAGGTGGGGGGTGCGGAGGGGGTGAATCCAGAAGGTATCATTACAGAGGATCGCTCTAGGACTTGAAATCTGACAAGTCTTAAAGAATGGGAGACTTCCCTGTTATTATAAAAATAAAAATGTTAAAACAAATAACCCAATTAAAAAATGGGCAGAGGAACTGAACAGACAGTTCTCCAAAAAAGAAATACAGATGGCCAAGAGACACATGAAAAGATGCTCCACATTGCTAATTATCAGAGAAATGCAAATTAAAACTACAATGAGGTATCACCTCACACCAGTAAGGATAGCTGCCATCCAAAAGACAAACAACAACAAATGTTGGCGAGGCTGTGGAGAAAGGGGAACCCTCCTACACTGCTGGTGGGAATGTAAATTAGTTCAACCATTGTGGAAAGCAGTATGGAGGTGCATCAAAATGCTCAAAACAGACCTACCATTTGACCCAGGAATTCCACTCCTAGGAATTTACCCTAAGAACGCAGCAATCAAGTTTGAGAAAGACAGATGCACTCCTATGTTTATCGCAGCACTATTTACAATAGCCAAGAATTGGAAGCAACCTAAATGTCCATCGGTAGATGAATGGATAAAGAAGATGTGGTACATATACACAATGGAATACTACTCAGCCATAAGAAGTGGAAAAATCCAACCATTTGCAGCAACATGGATGGAGCTGGAGAGTATTATGCTCAGTGAAATAAGCCAAGCGGAGAAAGAGAAATACCAAATGATTTCACTCATCTGAGGAGTATAGGAACAAAGGAAAAACTGAAGGAACAAAACAGCAGCAGAATTACAGAACCCAAAAATGGACTAACAGGTACCAAAGGGAAAGGAACTGGGGAGGATGGGTGGGCAGGGAGGGATAAGGGGGGGGAAGAAGAAGGGGGGTATTAAGATTAGCATGCATGGGGGGGAGGGAGAAAGGGGAGGGTGGGCTGCACAACACAGAGAGGACAAGTAGTGACTCTACCACATTTTGCTAAGCTGATGGACAGTAACCGTAATGTGGTTGTTAGGGGGGACCTGATATAGGGGAGAGCATAGTAAACATAGTATTCTTCAGGTAAGTGTAGATTAAAAATTTAAAAAAAAAAAAGAAAGAAAGAAAGAAAAGGGGGATTACTCCTTAACAGGATAAAACTATTGGTAAATCAAAGATCAACGCATGCTTTAAATATCCTTAATGTTGATCACTTAAAGGGTGTCAGATGATCAGCTATGGAGGTACTCTTTTCTGATAATATTCCTTTCTCTTAATTAAAAAAAAAAAAAAAAGCAGTTACTGTGTGCTGACCTCCAATGAGTTCTGCACAGTGGTATAGAGGGCATGTCAAAGTGTGGGCAAAGGGTCTGTTTGTTTCTACGCAGAAGATCAAGGCCTAGCTTGGATACCCAGAAAATGAACTAAGATACGATATGAGGAGGAGCTTCCGGCATCAGCACTCTCTGGAGGACTCGTGCCGGGGGATGATCATCAAAAAGCCTCCACAGGGATCCGGACGATGCTGCGGTTGTGGCTGCATCCAGCCCACCGTCTCCTGGACTTGCCATAAGAAGGAGGAGGGAGATGTCTAGGCTGGCATGTGCATACAGTGAGACAACGAATTTGACTGGATCTGTACTGTTGGAACTCAACCAGGAGTTGGGAGGGGTGCAAGTTGTAGCACCCCAAAATCTCATGACTATAGACTATCTATGGTTAAAAGAACATATGGGATGTGAACAGATCCCAGAAATGGGCTGCTTTAATTTGTCTGATGGTTCAAGTACAGTTGGACAATATCCATCATATCATAGATAAATTTTCACAAATGCCTAGGGTGCCTAAATGGTTTTCTTGGCTTCACTGGAGATGGCTGGTAATTATAGATTTGCTTTGTTTATGTCACCGTATTCCTATTATGTTAATATGTGTGTGCAAATTAGTTAGTAGTTTAAAACCTATACATACTTAAGGTACTATACAAGAAGATATGTCAAAGAAATAATCAATCCTCCCAAGTTTCCTTCATATGCTACATCTATAGCTTTTCTTCTTCCTTCCTAATTACAACCCTTAAATAGAATTCGTGCCTCATATCGAATTTACCGAGTATCATAATTCCTCCAGGTGGTAAAGATACCTCGAGACAAGTGCTGGGCATAGAAGCCACAGGGCATAAATCTGCAAAGAAGTAAAAAGCTAACCTTTGCAAACAATATGGCTTCTCTCTCACTTACCAACTTTACATTTCCCTGTATGGCCCCGGAAGATGACTGGTTAGCCAGAGACGGGTAAGATTCCTCAAGGGAGGAACAACCTAAGACAGGCACAGTCGCAGGGGGGCCATCAGGTGAGAATTTGGGGATCAACAGAGGTGAGGCTCAGAACCTCACCCCCCCTGCTTTGAGAGAAATCTTCTGCATCCGTGGATGTCTTGCTGCCCTTGTCTAGCCTGGATTAATACTTAGTCCATAGGCACACACCTGATCATCTGATCATCTACATTTGCCTTCTTACAGCACTAAACTATGTTTTCTACCTTTATCTTGCATCTACCTACCACTTCAGCATTTTATTAAAAATAAAAATAATAATAATAATAGGAGAAATGTGGGATCAACATATAAATCAAGTACAAAAATCAAACGAATATTCATATTTGACCTGATTGTTTATAGGTCATATTGCATGATCAAAACCGAAAGTTTCTGTGATGACTGCCCTTGTACTGTTCACCATGTAAGAATTTATTCACTATGTAAGAATTCGTTCACCATGTAAGAACTTGTTCGTTATGCTTCAGAAGATTGGAGACTGACGAGATTTGGCTTGAGATGGATTAATGATTGTACATTGAGCGTTGACCCCCCTATACTGATTTTTATTGTTGTTAACAACCATTTGATCAATAAATATGAGAGATGCCCTCTCAAAAAAAAAATAATAATAGTAATAATAACCTTTATAACCTAACTCCTAAAAAATAAAGTTTTTAAGTAACTAAATTTAAAAAAAATAAAAATAAATAAAAATAAATAAAAATGTTTAGTAAGAACATCCTACTAATTGCCACCCCTTTTCACTTTCTTAAGGATTTCTGACTTAAACAGCATTAACTTTGACAATCTTTTAAAAAGGTGTATTTCGACAACATGAAGCTTGGCAAATGTTGTGATTAAAAATCCCAAGGGGAGCTGAATATTAATAGTAAGTGCATTCATTGTGAACAGCAGGTGTAACATCTCAGAGGTCCCCACATTGTGGACATGTAACTGGAACCCCATGAATAGCAAAACCAAGTACGGACTACAGGAAAGATAAAAAGTAGGTGTGTTTTACAATTATTCCTAGAGCTAACGAACAGGAAAATAAACAAAATGCTCTGCAACATGAAGATTAAAAAAAAAGTCACTCAAGTCCAATTTATTAATTACTTTTGAACTCACATTCAAGTGCACAGTACCTCAAAGAGATGTAACAGATAAAAAAATGATTGACTAGACATCCATCCTAGGTTCTTAATTATATGTTAAAACTCAATTACTAGAATGCCCAATAAAGAGGGATTTAAGAATAAGCTTGCTTTGAGTGCATTCAATTTCTCTTTTAATTTTGTCATCCAGCAGCTACTAAACATCTTCTGAATGTCAGACACCTGACCTTCTCCTTAGAATGGCGACGGAACTGGAAGCAAAAAGAGGTTGTGGCATTTCCTTTTAAAGAAAAAAGAAAGTAGACTACTAAATCTTGAGCTGTTTCATACGGAGTCCTACCTAGAGAAAGGAGAGAAGAGGCCTGGCAAATTTCTCAAAAGGTCCTTCTAACTCGCAGTTACATGAGCTCAAACCATTTTCCTTTTTTACTGTGAGAAGTAGAATGCTTTGCCTCAGAAAGTCAAAGACCCGGTGCTTCTCAGCATTTTCTTTAGTGATCTTACTACAGCTTCAACTTCATGGGAAACGAAGCTAGACACAATGAACAGCAATTCACAGACAGGACTCAAATGTGAAACAACCAGGACAAACTGGGAAAGGGATTGATGAGAAGGAAGTATAAGAACTAGGAAAGGATACTCTATGAAAAATAAAATAAAATTTGGAAACAAGTTGGGAAAAGATTACGGCAAGTATGGCTGAAATAGCTCTAATGACCTCACTGGATAAACTGAGCCTGGGTCTTTATTTTTTTTCCTGTAAAAGAATTTTTTTTCTGGTATCATTAATATACACTTACATGATCAACACTGTGGTTACTAGATTCCCCCCATTATAAGTCCCCCCAACAAACGCCATTACAGTCACTGTCCATCAGCATAGTAAGATGCTATAGAATCACTACTTGTCTTCTCTGTGCTATATACTGCCTTCAGCCTGGGTCTTTATAAAGAGTATTGTGCATCTGAAACAAAGATGATACTGAATATATACTGTATATATATATACACCTGATGTGCATGTGACTTAAACAATATTCTACTATATCAGTAATTGATTAAGATCTTAAGAAAGTAGTGTTCCTAATTTAGATTGGAAACTTAAAACACTTGGAAAATTTCACTGAGTAAGAGAACAGAAAATGTAGACTGCCAAATAAAAACGTTAAAGGGATTCTGAAGCTTCTAAACTGAGCTTCAAAGGAAGGACAGCTTCCCCCTAAACCCAATCTTCACCCCCATCACTGCCCTTCTCAGAGCAAGTG